GCAAACACAGAGCCTGAGAGCAGCCCCCCCCCCGCCCTGACCACACACAGGCGCACCTGCATGCAAACTACCGATGGGTCCAGGTTACCGTAGCAGGACCGCCACCTGGTGTTTAAAAATATGACTAAACCCTAGGACCTCTGTAAACATAGCATATGGTAGAGTAGATATAAAGTCTCCTTCCTTTGTCCTTTGTTGCTCTCTAACCTTCTGACCCGTTGCCTTTCCGCAGCACCGACTCGGACTCGGACTCTTTGGTTCTCTGTAACAGTCTGTTTGAAGGACTTAACTTAACCCACACGGCAGAACCGCTCCGGCCCACAGGGGGCAGTCACACGGGGGCAGTTTACCTCGGCCCACGCACTGTTGTTGTAGCAACGACCTGAAGGACTGGGGTGGCCCACATGGGGTGGACAGACCACCACTGGTCCAACGTTATGTTTCCGCTCTCTTAACGAACCTGGACGATGAGGACTGAAGGTTTTCTCTGCAGATGAGCAAACAAACCTGGACCAGGAAGATGGAGACTGTGGCCTACATGAACAGGTCCAATCTGCTCTGATCTGGTCCAGTTCACTCCTGACCACTGGTCCAACCTTCACTTGGCTTCTCAGGACGAGCAATATACTCCAGGTGGGGTCCACCTGGAGTCCTGACATTCAAGGACGAGCACCAGTGACTGGGGTCCACCTGGAGTCCTGACATTCACGGTCCAGGACGGAGGTCGTGGACCTGGCAGTGTAGGACAAGGTTCTGTCCTGGGTGACGACCCACACCTGCAGCCTAGTCCACGTGTTCTAATGTCTGAGACCGATCCTGAAGGGACCGGGCTCCTGTAAACCACCGGGGGGGGGGTCAGTGTGGGCCGGGCAGACTGGCCCAGGTCACATCAGTGACTGGGGGTTCTGGGCCTCCACTCACTGGCCCGTAGTTTGGGCCACATACTGAGTGTGTTGAGCCTACACACTCCAATCTGACCTCCTGACCTGTCACTGGTTGAGGCCTACACCTGGTACATGGACCAGATGTTCAGGCCCGGCCCTGACACCATAGGTTCCTGTGCTGGAAAACAGATATTTGTGGCAGTTTATGAGAAGGTCTTCCAGGCCTGGGAATCACACACGCTCTTATACCATGTGTGAGTGGTGTGGCAGGAAGTGGACTCCCTACAACCAAAGGGAAACATGGTCACCTGAGTGGGAAGGATACCAGACCAGGTCGGCCTCTCGGCCCACAGGTCTGGCCCGGGATGTTCTTCTGAGGGCACCAGCAGTTGGAAACCGACCGTCACTCACACACACACACACACGAGTGGGCCGTTTGATGCTAAACCCGTGGTCCACGTTCTAAACGTAAGCCACGACGTACCTCGACTCTGGGCCACCACGCGTCCAGGAATCGGTGCCAACAGTGGGCCAGGTGAACCAGCCTGTGTGGGCCAGGTGAACCAGCCTGTGTGGGCCAGGTGAACCAGCCTGTGTGGGCCAGGTGAACCAGCCTGTGTGGGCCAGGTGAACCAGCCTGTGTGGGCCAGGTGAACCAGCCTGTGTGGGCCAGGTGAACCAGCCTGTGTGGGCCAGGTGAACCAGCCTGTGTGGGCCAGGTGAACCAGCCTGTGTGGGCCAGGTGAACCAGCCTGTGTGGGCCAGGTGAACCAGCCTGTGTGGGCCAGGTGAACCAGCCTGTGTGGGCCAGGTGAACCAGCCTGTGTGGGCCAGGTGAACCAGCCTGTGTGGGCCAGGTGAACCAGCCTGTGTGGGCCAGGTGAACCAGCCTGTGTGGGCCAGGTGAACCAGCCTGTGTGGGCCAGGTGAACCAGCCTGTGTGGGCCAGGTGAACCAGCCTGTGTGGGCCAGGTGAACCAGCCTGTGTGGGCCAGGTGAACCAGCCTGTGTGGGCCAGGTGAACCAGCCTGTGTGGGCCAGGTGAACCAGCCTGTGTGGGCCAGGTGAACCAGCCTGTGTGGGCCAGGTGAACCAGCCTGTGTGGGCCAGGTGAACCAGCCTGTGTGGGCCAGGTGAACCAGCCTGTGTGGGCCAGGTGAACCAGCCTGTGTGGGCCAGGTGAACCAGCCTGTGTGGGCCAGGTGAACCAGCCTGTGTGGGCCAGGTGAACCAGCCTGTGTGGGCCAGGTGAACCAGCCTGTGTGGGCCAGGTGAACCAGCCTGTGTGGGCCAGGTGAACCAGCCTGTGTGGGCCAGGTGAACCAGCCTGTGTGGGCCAGGTGAACCAGCCTGTGTGGGCCAGGTGAACCAGCCTGTGTGGGCCAGGTGAACCAGCCTGTGTGGGCCAGGTGAACCTATTTTGTTGACTTTTCAAAGCTTCCGGTGAGAAAGAGGAAGTAGTTTTGTGTTGGTGGATTTTGATAACAATGATAAATAAGTGGACTGTCGTTTGTTTGTGCTATGCTAACATGTCGCGTCAGGTTTCGCTTGTTGCTCATTTAAATACGACGATTAAAAAGAACGAATTCTAAAGGATTAAAAGTTTCAAGTTTGTTGAGGAGTTTGTTGGTTGTTTCTGGGGAGTTATTAGGAGTAGTTTTTTTAAATTTTTTGTCGATGTTTCCCAAGAGGCTTTTTTTTTTTTTAGCTCTAAAGCTACTTACCTTTAAACTCCACTTGTTTCTTATTTCTATTTTGTACTGACGAAATATTTTAATTTATAATCTGTACTGGAAACTTAACAACTTTACGGGCAGATTAAAAACATGTGTTGATGTCTCATCATAAAATAACCATAATGTTAACGTAGATTAAAAACGTGTATCATAAAATAACCATAATGTTAACGTATTTCTACAGTTGACTTTAATTGTTAGCACTTAATTCCTGAATAGTTAAAATGGCCTCCAAACATCTGTTTAAAGATCCTGAAGAGATCATTTCTAGTTGTTCTCTTGTTCTAAATGATGTGATCTGTAACTGACTGTTCCCATGGTAACCTTGGCTACACCTGGTTCCCAACACAACTGTCTAAAATGCAGCCCTGAACCATTACAGAGGGCAGCGAGGGAGCAGATGAGAGTCTTCTAGATTTTTTATGAATTACTATATCAGTACATCATCAGTAACCTAGTACACAGAGTACTGCGTATTTGTCAGGTTGTACTTCCTCTCACCTTTGAGTGGTTTAGGTATAAAGTGTGCAGCAGCCTTGTTCTTCTTCACGTGGTTTCCCTTCATGATTCCTCCCTCCTTGTTGAGTCCCAGGTACCAGGCGCGGCCCGAGGCCTGCTGCCGGTACAGCATGGAGGAGTAGGTGACGTAGTAGTTCTCAAACACCGACTCTTTGAACTTACACTCCGGTGTAAAATGTTCCTGAGGAGGAAAACGGTGACAGATATTGGAGCCAATGATAAGAGAGAAGGAGGCGAGGAGGTGATTAAGTGGAAACACACAGACACAGAGTGGAGGCACCGTCACAGGAGGGATGAGTCTGTAAATGGCATCTCCATTAAATAAAAAAATCTCTGTTCATATCGCCTTCAGTGCTTTCATCCGTCAGCTGTTGAGCTCTTTGAATCATTATCTCGGCCCGGCCGACGTCTCCGAGAACAAACTGCACCAACTTAGGACAGCTGACATTTGCATTTCCTTATATCCGCATCGCCATGGCAACCAGCTACTCCCCTGAATACCAACCAGCTGAGAGAGTGAGAGTGAGAGGAGCCCAGACATGCTGCAGGAAACGCAAATATTAATAAGAGGGATTTTTTTTTTTTGGGAGGACAATATGAGGAATGTTGTAGCTTCTTCTTCTGGGGATGAATTCAGTCTAATTTTAGACCAACATGAGTTTAGTCGCCGCTTTATCTTCATCAATATTTCCATGTTCAATTTTCCCTCTTTTTCTACACGATTTTGGTTGAAATTGAAAATATCCCAGTCTGTCTATTAGCTGTGAGTTGTTGTTACTTTTCTGTATTAACGGTCAGTGATGTCAGTGTCTGACCTTATGTTTTTGGCCTGATTTCTAGGCCTTTTCTTGGTTGTTAACGTCCTGCTCTTGTGCATTGAGATTTTTAAATATATATATATATATATATATGTTGAGTATATGTCTGTATATGTATGTATATATATATGTATGTTCTGTATATACATATAAGTTAAAGTTCTTCAGTATGGAAGTGTATGAAAATGGAACCTTTGCTAATTAGTTAAAATCCAGACAAGTGTGTGTGTGTGTGTGTGTGTGTGTGTGTGTTTCACTGAATAATGAGGAGGTTTATTTTAGCGTTGAAGTGGAGACTCTGGACTAAAACAAGTCTGGACTGGAGGCTCAGTGATGCTGGTGTACGTGCCTGTACACGCATAACA